GAGAAATTTCAAGATCGAACTGTTATGACAATCGCTCATCGACTGAACACAGTAGCCAAATGTGATCGTATTCTTGTGTTGGACAATGGTATGATAGTGAACTATGATACGCCTGGAAATATTTTGCATCTATATGACCAATAATCTTTGTTATAGTGTGATCTAGTTATATGCAATATTTTCCTTTTTTCTCTTTCTTTCTTCTGTTTTGCTATCGTACATGGATGACATGCATGATATACATATATATCTTTTATTCTTTCCTTTTTGTCCCTTATCTTGATATAGTATAGGTATTTTCCATCTCATCATGTTTTCTTTCAAGTGTTTTTCGGTTTTATCCTAGTTCGTTCATCTATATATAGTTGCTGTTTGGAAAATAAAGAGAAGGATTCACTATTGATCTACTATTATCTGTTCTTGAAGCCAAGACACTCGGTTGTTATTTGAATAACTTTTGATAGGAACAAGATAGAGATCTGTGGTTTTCACCGTTTGATAGCCAAGATCCAAGAGCATATTTTCATAAGCAAAATTTTTTCTAAGAAAAAATCCGAAGACCAGTTTCTCAGAGGGTCTTCGGAAAACCACGCTGGATTTCTGAAAACTGTCATAGAAGTCTATTAATTTTCTTTTACAAATCTAAAATCAGCATCGAAAACTGCGTCGATTCATATACAATGGTTTGCAAAAAAACTTGGAACAAACATTTGGCTTATATTAGCGCCTGAATTAATTGTCTTGAAAAAAATGTTTCGTTATTCCATACACAATAGTCCATAGTTTAACAACATCCCGTTCAGTATTGTGTTCTCTCTTCTTTTACTTCAAAAACTTAATTGCATCTTTCTTTTATGCGATTTGCCAAACTAATTACAACTTATTTTTTCATATGAGTTCATTTTTAGTTTGTAGAAAGTCTTCAGTTTACTTGTATTTTTTAATTTTCGTTTCCCGACTCTATGTTTCACACATTCCAAACATTTTCAATGGGATTAATATCCGGATTGTTGAGCAACCAGTCTAAAATATGAGAAATAGTAGTGACGACGAGTATTTCTCATATCTTAGACTGGTCATCAATCAGCACGAATTCGAATGGAATGGAAAATGATTGACATATTATGAAACAGTTAAGAGACATTAGTTTTGTGACTTTTCAGTCGATTCATCGATTGTGGCTTTGTAATTTCGCGTAATGAATTGATATCGTACTCGACTGTATGTAGTATCAATCTTACGGTTGTCCATAATCTATTCGTTCGATACTTTAAAGAACTTTGATACCTGAGCTGTCCCAACTGATAGATAATTGTAGGCAAAGGTGTGTTTGTAGCCTGATGGTTTTTTTTCTGGCTGAACGAATTCCCTTGTTTCAATAATATAATAGAGAAATATGCTATTTTTTCGTATTGTTTGGCTTTACCATATCGAACTCAGCTCTAATAACGAAACAACACCAATCGATAAAGTAAATGAATATGTTAAGTAGATAACCTACTAAATATAAATCTAGGATAACAGCAAAAGATGCCCTCCACAAAAGCTAGGAAATATTAAATCTTTGTGTTGACTAATTGTTCCAAGTTTTTTTGCAAACCATTGTATGTTTCGAATCTTTTAAGAAAAAAAAATTATAAAATACGGTTATTGTAGTAGAAAATTATAAGAGAGAAGAGGGTTAGATAGAGAGAGTGGAAAGCCAATTAGAATTATGTGGTAATTATTTTGAGAGGATAATATTGGAAATTGATATAAGCTCAGGACCACGTCAAAAAATGCATTCACGCAAAATGTCGTTTCTATTGTCTAGTCATTTGCCATTTTGTGTCGTACTAGCATTTTACAAGCTTAGAACCTACTTTTCACTGTCCAAGTGACTTTTTGACTGAATTCATTTTTTGACGAGGCCCTGAGAGGGGTGTATTTTTCGACAAAAAAAGTCTATTAAAAGATTCAGAACATATATGAATGGACACCGTTTTCGATGCTGATTTCGAATATGTGAAAAAATCAATAGACTTCTATGATAGTTTTCAGAAATTCAGTGTGGTTTTCCAAAGACCCTCTGAAAAACTGGTCTTCAGATTTTTCGTCAGAAAAACTTTCGGTTATGAAAATATGCTCTTGGGTCTTGGCTATCAAACGGTGAAAACCGTAGGTCGATATCTTGTTCCTATCAAAAGTTATTCAGAAAAGAATCGAGTGCCTTTACTTCTGGAACAGATAATAGTAAGACAGAGCCTAAAAATGAAAAAGTTTGATACTCTAATTTTTCGAGGGTGTAGGTATGGGGGTGGGGTGGGGGTGTGGGGTGTGGGGTGTGGGTGGGTGCAATTATTCATCTCATCTACAGCTACATCCAGACCCACACCCAGACACCCATATCCACACCCTGTTTAGTGTTTTTCTTCATAATTTGTTTCTCTTACTCTTTCCTTCAAAATGTTTTTTTTTTCTTTTACTCTTCCCTTTTCGTGCCCTCTTTTTCTCTTTCCTTCTCGTTCCTTCTCTCACTCCGTCCTTCTATTTTTGTGGAACTCATGTATATTTTCCACGAAAATAGTGAGTGTAAGTTTTAAGTTCAAGGTTTCGCGGCTCCTCCTCCCCTTACAGACAGACCCACATTACAGACCATAGCAACAGAAGAGAACATTACAGACGTACCCCCAATTACAGAGAGGCTCCCAGTACAGACCATAGCAACGTAGGTCTCCATTACAGACCTTAGCGACCAGGTTTCAAATAATGAATATGCATATACATATATATATAATAGTTTTGTTCGCCATATAATTCAATGCTTCTTATAATAAAAATGTAAAATTAAAGAAAAAAGCAGTGTTAAAAATGAAAAATACTGGGGAATAGCAACAAAGAAGACGAAAAACAAGGGCACCTGTCAGAAAATTAAAAATCCATGATTTTATACTATCTATATTGCATATTAGTATAATGAAGCCGAAGTATATACGTGAGTTCCACATTTCAGCCCCAAAGGGGCTGCGCTAACAAGCTTTTTCATATATAAATGCGCAATACTTCTAATACATATTTCGCTAACATCGTTGATTGTGAATAAAATTGAAAAAAAGAAAAACTGAAATAAAAAAAATCTGAAGTATGTCAGATGAACACAGGTTAAATAAAAAAGATAAAAACAAAATGTTTTTTAATTTTTTAGCTTGATAAAATGTGAAAAAAAACAACAGAAATCCTTTATTCTTATTCTTTCGTTTTAATATCAAATTTTCTATAACAAATAAATCTTGACAAAAAAAGGACATCAATTATTTTCAATATATTTGAAATGAAAAAGGAAAAAAACAAAGTTTTTATCTTTTTTTTACGATTAACAATCTCTTTTAAATTGTGAAGAATATCTGGAGAATTATAACCTAATGATAAATCAACAAATTGTTCATCATTCCTAGCTGCATAAGCTTGACCTTCTTTCATTCGTCTCACCTGTTCTTCAATTAATCTCTCATTTATTGGTGAATCATAAAGTTTTTGTACTAGAGTAAAAATTTCATCGATTCCTACAGTGTTATCAAATGAATCGGTTGATCTTGATTTATTTTGTGACGACATACTTGAACTAATTAAATCAAGTGCTGCTGTATTATCTTTAAAATCATTTGTTCTAGATCCTAAATAACATCTTCGTTATTAGCTCCTGTTGATCTTTTTTGTTTTTCTTCATTAATGAAATGTCAAAGATATTTAATAATATCATTATTAAATGGTGTTATTGAATTTTGTTTTAAAAATTGTGAAAGTTAAGCACAAATTTTTCTTATTGATGTTTCTTCATTTTTTAAATCAGATATTCTTTTATCAATTATTTTCATGATTGATTGAGGTGTTTGTAATGAATAAGAATTATCAATATCAATATATATGTTAAATTTCTTTCATATCTATATGTTATATGCATATGTTTTGTCCAATGATAACCACACTCTCGACATGAGCCTATAAATTAAAAATAGAAATCAATAATCAAGTTAATATTAGAATAAACTGACCAACCTGTTTTTCTAAGTGCTCGACGTCGTTGAATAATGGATGACCAATACATTCTTATACAACTCTATGTAATGAACAATCAACATGACAATTACTGATAAATCAATTCGTTGTTCACCATGAACATTAATAACTTCAGTACATTTTTCATTAACACAAACAGTCTTTCTCGAAGTCGAACAAATCTTCCAGTTTTCTGTGAAATTTTATTTGAAACTTGATTTGTTGAATTATTGAAAAGTTTTTCTTTATATTGTTTAGCTAATAAAATATTTTCTTGAATAAGTGTAGCAATTTCAGCTACTGGTCGAGAAAGTTTATGTATTAATAATTGAGCCTCATTTAATGATTTCATCTCTTGAACAGCATGAAGATCATATTGAAGAATACGAATAATAAGACGAGAAAATTTTTCAACAGATTTATTCCAACTTTCACTATAAGTTCTTTTTTTGTTTCATTAGAAATTATTAATCCTTGTTTACAAACAGCTAGAAAACGATATAATTCATTATCAAACATAAATGTATTTTCTCTATTAAATGGAACTTCAACATCATTACTTTCATGAAGTTCTTTAAGAAGAACTTTTAATAATCTTGTTGTTTTACCTAGTTGATAGAATATTGCCCGTAAATTTGTAAATACAAACATAATATTCTCGTTTGCCTTCACATGTAAATGTCTTAATAATTCTTTAATCCAATAATGAAAAAAAAAATCTAATCGTGTTGATGTTGGTTTAAGTAGAATACAACTTCCATTTAAATGTTCATAATTACTTATATAACTAAGAATATATTCAAAATTTCATGCTTCATGATCAACACCTCGCGTATCACCAACACCTGGTCCATCAATAAAACGTATTGATCGATTTCCTATTGGAAATATATAACTACGACATAATTGAGTTGATGAGTGCCTATCATTTTCATAATTTTCATTATCATTTGGAATTCCTACAAGAACTTTTGTCTCATCAAATGTTTCACTATCTGTTACTATAAATGTCGAAGGGATTAATACTTTTAATTCACCTTTTAATGTATCATCAAGTGTATTATAAAAAAGTCAATTAACAAATGCATTAATAAATGTTGTCTTACCAATACCAGTTTCACCTAATAACAATATGTTTATGTATGTTTCTGGTGAACCACAACGACCGTAAGCCATTTTCATCTACCTCCAATGAAAAGTTATTGCGTAATAAGATAATCTTTTATTATGACTTGGAATTTTTCTATTGTTTTTGTTCTTGTACAACTTTCTTATGTTCCTAGGAAATAAGTCTTTTCTTTTCTCGTCTACTTGCTTTTTAAAGTGAGACATTCGTCATGCTTTTTTTTTTGTTTAATAGTTTTTTGCTGTTCTATAGCGCGTGTTTGACGTGAACAAGAAACGACATACAAACAGAATGTGTTTTTTTTCAACACATGAGATGTAGAGGTTTTGAATTCTGCAATACGAAAGATGAAATACCTATACATAGGTCTAATGATCGTTGGAAAAGCCTGAACATTTCAGTCGAAAAGAATGTTCCTTTCTCGAGATACTCAACTTTCAAGTAATTCAATTTTTATGATACTATGTTCATGACAAGCAACTATTTGTTGCAAATTCAATATCACAATAGATGAAGTTGCTTTTCGGCTGAAATTTTTTCAATGTTGGAAGGATCTTTGGACCTATGAAAGATTTAAATATGAGGTCCAAATTTGATTATTAATTTTCTATTAAATCCCTGAAAATGAATTAAATATTCAATAGAGCAATCGTCTAATACCAGCTCAAACGATGAACTACACTTCGGACAGTTTATTCTTAAAGAAACTCTGTAAAAGTTAAATACAATGATCGTAATACAACAAATTCATCTATTTCTTTGTTGCCTCGAGTATTTTGACGATATTCTTTTATTTTGCTCTATGTTGATCTTTTTAGTGAAACACATCGACAAAATAAGCAAATGTCGGTTAGAAAAGTCTTTCAAACATCTATATCTGAAGGATCTGAAAAAAGTTTAGACGCTAACGAGACAGTCTCAGTCATTGTAGAACATGCAGCCATTGATCAACGTGACTTCATCGAATCATTCTATGATGGATATGAAGATAATATCAGAGGAAAATTGGGTGGTAAGATCAATACGCAGCTTTGTAAATCAACTGAAAAAATTAAATATATATCAATCAATGGGCGTGCACCTGAACATCAAAATCTACTTAAATTTGTTAAAATTGATTATCAACAACGATTAAATCTATTATTAGAAACGACTCGTGCAAATAGAATAGTTTTGCTCATTAATTATTCTCAACTGATTAATAAACAAACTCGACTTTGTTATATTCATCAAGAATCACATATAGAATTTTATAATAATCATTTAGACCTATTGAAAAAAACCAGTAAAATTATCAACATGTGAAACATTTGCAACCTACATTATAACTGAAATCATTTGGAGTATTCATCTTCTTCTTATTGTACAATTACCTCCTGATAAAGAAAGAGAAATAGGTGCTTTATTGAATGAACTAGTAGAAAGTTTAAGTAGTAATAAGCCAATAATAATAATAAACTCAAAAGAAGAAACTCTTCTTGATCAAATCATTTCAACTACAGTTTATTCAAATATAGATGCTTTCACTAAAATAAAAAAATAACTATATATTTATGATGCATTAAGAGGATTGCAGAACCATGATGATACACACGAACGATTAAAATATATTCTTACTCCTCTTTAATGGTTCTACGATCGTCATGCTACACATTTACCAAAATTACTTTTACGTCAATCAGACTAGATCGAAACTCTTGAGTATTATTTACTTCAGCAAAAAGCTGAATTGAAATTATTGAACTTCCGTGTCAATCATGATTTATTTGAATTACTACCAGGTAAGTGTGAAGAATGCTTCAAAAATGTTCAGGAAGAACTTTCCGAATTACAAGCTTTCCATTGAAAAGATATTGCACGACTTCATAATGTAGTTTTGAAAATTCGAAAAGGAGCAATAATTTAAAGTTTAATACAGAAAGAATTGAGCTTGGATCCACCAAAAGAAATTGAGCAATTGATTGACCGCATTAATATCCAAATTAGGTATATGGGATGGATTAGAAAGAAGTCAAATCCATGATATGCTTTTTGGTAATGATCTCCACAAAATATATTTTTTTCAAACGATAAGCTTAACAAGAATGATCATAAAGCTTGGACTAACATCTATTCTCAAATGATCGAGAAAAGAACACAGAATTCTCAATTACGTCTTGTCTATGCTGATTTTACTGATTCAGTATACAAATTGAAACAGATGGCAATCACTTTATTGAGAGATATGATAGAACATAAAAATCCATCGAATTTGCATTCGTCTGAAGATAATACAAAAAGAAAAACTCTTCCACCATCACCACCATCGTTAACTAACGAGATTATTAATATACTTCTTCTGAAAGAATTTGATGTTGGTAAAGGAAGTTTCATTAATGCTTTTGCTAATCATCTTCATTCTCAAAGTCTTGTTGAAGCTCAAAAAGTAAAACCAATTTTTATCATATCTGTTTCATTTCTAATGGCTATCAATGATAATTTTGATGAAAAAATAATCATATTTGGTGATATTCATTCAAATGAAAATCATAGCGATTCAGATCAATCAGCGACTCAAAAATGTAAATCTTATGTTTTTAATATTTCTAATGAAAAAATATATTATGTATTGTTGATATACCTGGTTTTAATCAAGATGATTTTAATATAGAACAAATATTTTCTTTTCTTCATAATATTGCTTATTTAATAATCGAGATTTACATGAAATTATTTGGAATATTTCTCATACATGTGAATTAGCTTTGAATCCGTTTGATTGAAATATAAAGAGAATTATAAAAATGAAATATTTTAATTAAATAGTTCAATTAGAAATTATTCAAAAATTGTTATTCTTGGAAAAATCTAGTCGTAAAGATATTTGTTACATAAAAAAGAATTTTAGCAATCTTATTATGTTTCAATAATATTCATCAGAAAATTATCGAGATATTGCAAAAAAAAATTTAAACGATATGTCTGGGGATGATGAGTGATGCGTGCTAAAGATTCTTCTCTTAATAACCAATTCGTTGAAGAAAAAGACGTATACTTGCATATTTTTAACTGT